AGAAATACCCAGTGCCAAAGAATCCATTTCCCAAGGAGCCAAATTTCCAAGGGAGACAGAGGCAGGCCATTTCCCAAGGAGACCAATTCCCAGAGATACCATTTTCCAGGGAAAGTCTAGTTCGGACAGCAACATCTCAGTTGCCAGTCCTGTCAAGTAGAAAACTAACCATACCACTAATTTAGTTTGGAAGGCCTATAACTATAATCAACCAATCAGATTGCTCTATTACTGGGCTAACATTTTCAAAGTATTGGACAAGCCACTATCCTGCATATATAATCACTCTTGGAGGTTTCCTTATACACTAGGAATAGTTCCTCTTTTGCTTAGTCCATTATATTGTGTGTAACGCGACAGAAATTAACCACGAGAAAAAAAATGGCTGCGTTAAATCCTAGGGGCGAGAATTTTTCGAGGCCATTTTTTTTTCTCTTGGTTTTCTTTTGTCACGCATGACGGACCACGCAAAAGAGGGACTACTAGTAGTCTAGCTTTCTTGTGGCTTGCTTTTCTAGAATAATTAACTTACTGGCAAAAATATATTTTTTTGGTTTTCTTTCAACTTTCTTTTTGCATAGCTGAGTAACTTAGGCTAAGTTAGCTCTTGATAAAAATTGCTCAGGACGGCACTAGCTTGGACACTATCAACATTTAATAGTCTTTTCTTTACAGGCCTCCTAGCGCTTGGTCAAGACATTAGGCCAGCATTCTCCCAGGGTGGCTTGCTTAATAAAGATAATTATTTTTCGGTTATGTACAACTATACCTTGCCTCACTCCTGTTTCTACTCTGATTGTGTCAGATGGTTGAGGTGTTGAGAGATGTAACAGTGGGCCAGCTCCTGGAAGAAAATCACTGAAAACAAATTGTCAAGTTAGGACATAATGTTTTTATAACATACAACTTGAAGTTACATTGAAACATATATGACAGGGACAACTGAACCATACTTCTGTTAATGATGCAAGGGGCTTTGAAAAAAAATGCACAAAAGCTTCAATGTGGAAGTCGAACCCAGCATCTTCTACAAATCAGTTGGATGTCCTACCATAAAGCTACCGGAAGCCTGTGAACAGGCTCCCATTCAGTTTGTGAGTGAAGCCAGACAACACCACTCTTGGCATGCTCCACTCACCCTAGACCATCCTCAGCTAGCTCTATCTGCTCACCGGTATTTTTTACCATCTTATGACCCAATTGGGGAGCCTGTTCACTCCCACAGGCTAAACTACACGGGGCAGGTGGTTGCTAAGCCAGTGCATGGTGGCTTCCACTTGCATACTGTGGCTCTGTGGTTGATCTATCTGGGCAACCGTACAGATGATTACATATGGGTTCACCATTTTTTGTGTACCCTGTGAGCAGTTTATTTCCCTCGTTTACAGCATAGCATTGTAATAGGCATAGGAGAAACCAATTGCTCACAGTGTAATTATTGTGAGATCTAATTAGAAGAAATGCTGTTCTGAGTAGGAGTGTTGTTATCACATTATTATTACATTAATCTCCTTTCTCATTTTGTTTTGGATCATTTCCTGCCACTGTTACCTTGTTAACCGACATCTGAGGGCAACAAATGACAAATTCAGGACTGTAGCCAGAAAAAGAAATTATGACTGAGGTTAAATTCTCTTCCTAGGTATCTAGCAGTGTTTTACTATCCCCAATCAAAAACTGAAAAATTGACTGAGGCAAGTGCGCATGCCTTGGTTTACCTCATACTGGGTATGGCCCAGAAATTTGCGTGTTAACAAGAGATACATCACCTTTCAGGATCCTCAGCATAAATCCTGGCCTCAAAAGAATGCCCTGTTAGTTTGATATCTTCTTGTAAAAGTGGTAGACGTTCTCCTGACGCCACTTTCAGCTGCCACGCAACCAAGTCCTGTCCTGTGATCATCTCTGTAACAGGGTGCTCAACCTAACAGACACAAAATGGCCTTGTTAAGTCAAAGATATTTTTCAACATTAGGATAATAATAATGTTTAAAGAAGATAAAGAGACAAGGTCTTGAGAGAAAAATTAAACAAATCAAAATATTTCACTTTTATTCACTATCTCTATCTAATGTTTTTGTCTGCACTGAAATAGTATAACTATCAGTGCTAAACATAAAAATACAGCATTTAGTGCACTATTCTTACTTGTAATCGAGTGTTCATTTCCATAAAGTAGAAGTTTTGATCTTTATCCATAATGAACTCGACGGTACCTAAAGGAAATACCCAGATTATTCACCACAAAGCCATCTCATTATTTTATATACTTTAGCCACCTTGTCAATATTATGGTGTCAGACTGAATTAAATGGTCTGGGATCAAGCATTGACTGGGATCACCACATAATGTGTTCTTGGACAAGACCCTTTACTCTCACAGTGCCTCTTAAATTGTTACTAGCAAACTGACAAAATGCTGGAGGGGAGGGGTGGGAGAGTAGCCAGTGAAGAATTAGCACCCCATCCCCGTGGACTGTAGCAGTACTCTAAATGACTTAAACTGGGACAAGCTTTTAGGCTGTGTGTGTCAATTTAGCGTGAGTGCAAATGGCGAAAAACTTTGCATTGCGCTCTTGGATAGGGCATGTAGCTCTTGCAGTTCCTCTCTTCTTCCAGAGGTGACGAAACAAAGTAAAGGCAAATTGTTAGTCTAAGGGCAAACTCACAAAAATGCTTGAGGGTAAGGGAACCTGTGATTGCATTGTCATCCCATCCTGCTGTCAACAGTTACAATGCAATGATGATTTGCATTATTCTCCTGAATCACATCTGTTTTTACAAGATACTAAAATTACAAGGAGAAATAAGATCTTGATCAAAAAGAAAAGTCAATTGCATATCATACCTGCACCAACATAGCCAACAGCCTTTGCTGCCCTCACTGCTGCTTCACCAATCTTCTGCCGCACCTCAGAGGATAACCCTGGAGCAGGAGCCTCCTCAATGATCTTCTGGTGTCTCCTCTGAACACTACAGTCCCTCTCAAACAGGTAAACAGTGTTCCCAAGGGTGTCGGCAAATACTTGAACCTCTACATGTCTGGAAAGAGTGTCAGACAAAAAGATTCGATGACTAGATAGTATTAAAACATGTATCATTAGTAAGAATAAATAAAACTTAAACAAAGAGATTTGAACATGACAATCTAAAACATCCAGTTTCTGTACCATTTATCAGAAGTGACCTAAATATTGCCAGTCCACATGGCTAGGATGTTAGTCCATCATAAATTGTAATGTTTTAGTTTGTCCTCCAACTAAATAATGTTCATGGTGTAAATTTATGGGCAGAGGAAGACACTCAGACAGTTAATGCAATTATACTCAAGGTAATTCAACATTAATGAACTTGCCTAAGCTTATATTACTGTGAGATTCCTTCAAGGGGTTACTGCACAGTAAGTGGGGAAAGCAAAGTGGAAATACACATAGGAAAGACAATAATATTGGCCAGCATTATACATAGACAGCTGCAGTGCAAGCAAAGCATTATAAAGATGTAGCCTTTAGCACGCATTGCAGACCTACATGTATACGTATAGAATGTTAACTGATGATGATTCTAGTTTGAAGTGCCAGCCAGTACCTTGGAGTGTCGACAAACTTTTCCACTAACATATTATCATCATTAAAGGACTTAAGAGATTCCCTTCTGGCTGATTCTAGAGCATCATCGAAATCTTCTGGCTTCATAACAATCCTCATTCCCTGAAACAAGATGGAATAAAATCTTTATCAGTTGACAAGATGTACATGATGTGGCACTGGACTGTCATTGTAGTAAAAAGATATATGAATAATAAGTGCTGCAAGTAATTAATGTTAATAAAGAAAATAATACCTTTCCACCACCACCTCTTACAGCTTTAAGCATAACAGGATATCTGAAATAAAAAAAAATTACAAACAACATTGTTAACATGGAATTCAGCACAAAAAAAATGAAGAAAGCGAGTTGTTATTATCACAGTAAGTTGCTGTTACCCTATTCTTTCCGCTTCTTGTCTTAATCTCTCATCAGATTGGTCTTCACCATGGTAACCTTCAATGATTGGCACTCCAGCAGTTCCCATGATTTCTTTGGATGTGCTGCGATAACAAAACAAGGGAATATATGAAGTGTTATAGATAATATTATGGCAAGTTAACAAAAACAAATGTCATAAAATCATTATTAATAATAATTTTGTTATTACTCTAAACCTGATGTTAGTCAGTGTAACTATTTCAAGTACATGTATGTATTGTGCTGTTCCAGAAAATACATGACTGTATCCACACCCCCCATAGAAGGGAATGGAATTTTCTGGAGGAAAGAAATGTATGAGACTTCAATTGAAATATCCAGAGGAGTGGGGGTCTTAGACAAAATTCGTTCCATGAGGGAGGTATGGATATCTTCTGTAGCTAAATCTAACAATTTTAACAATCATTGATTGGAGAGAGTTAACCAAGTGAGTAGATGTCTTTCTTTGTGGGGAAAAGAAGTGTTCTTTGTGGGGGAAGAATCAATTTAGGATGCCTAGAGACTCTGACTAGTCATAGAGTAGAGTCAAATAGACTGCTAAAAATAGTCTTCTTCTAATTAGGTATCCCATCAGTTCCCACGCAGGAAATCAAGGAAGTAAGGAAATCACTTAATATTTACCTTTTAATACCCATATCTCTGATGGCCGAGGCTGGTGGTCCAATAAATATCACACCTTCTTTCTCGCAAAGTTCTGCAAATTCTGGCTTCTCTGATAAGAAGCCGTACCCAGGATGAATAGCCTACAGAGTATAATTATCCAAAAAATGAAAATTTCTTAACATACACATACTTGATCAATACACATAGAATCAGGTAATTTGCAATACTTACTTTGATATAGAATGAGAATGTTTCTTTTTACTAATTGCAATTGGACTTATACAGGGTGGTGTGTTGCATTGAGGAAGGAGGGAGGAGGGTGTGATTATAAATATTAGTCTAGTAGGTATATTAATTTGTACACCTTCTTAATTACCAGTAGTTCTTAATCAACAATAGTAAAACTTATCCTGTACACAAATAAAATTCAGATGAAGGTGTCTACTTTAATTTGTTCATTACCTGTGCTCCACTCTGAATAGCAACTTCAATGATTTTCTCCATTTTGAGGTAACTTTCCCTTGATGCTGCTGCTCCAATGTGGAAAGCTTCATCCGCCTGGAGTACAATACAATTTTTTATTGTGAAATGAATTTGCCAATGAGGAGGGAGGTCTCAAAAGCAAAAGTATGAACCACAACTGGAATTTCTAGCAGGATGGGATGGATCAATCTGAACAGAACTCTGTGGGAGGAGTATGGATATTTTCTGGAATGAACACAGGCTGTACTTGGTAGCGTAATAAAGTGCTATTATTATTTTTTTCCAAGAGGGCACAGTAATCAATTCTGCAATCCAATTGGTTCTTAGTGCAGTCTGGATTTTCCTATCTCTGACCACGGTCATAGTAATGTGCACGCATGTATTTGGAAAAGGTCAAAAGTTATAAATTAATTAAAAGTGATTTGAGAGAGAGAAGAAAAATAAATATTGAGTTACATACTGCCTTAGGTTCGGTCCGTATAGTGAAAAGCTGTGGCCTCGGACTTAAAAATGCTCAGACCTCAGTCAAAGATTTTCACTATATGGACCTCCCAACCAGAAATAATATATAGTTGACAAGCCTCAACATCAAAAGATCACCAATGCTAACCACACAATGCAAGATAGAAAATTTACTAATTGACAGTAATTTGAGACAAAATATTATACAGTATTTAACTCACCACATCAACATGCATGGAATTTTCATCTGCATCACTATAAACTGCCACAGTTCTTATTCCCATTTTCTTTGCTGTTTTCATCACACGACAAGCAATCTCTCCTCTGTTGGCTACAACCACCTTCTTGATAGCTCTTGGACCTGAACAACATACAAGATAATAGGTTATCGACCAAGTGTGAGGTCAACATGAACAAAATTTATACTTGATAAATGATTATTTATTATTGAAATATAATTAATAAAATTCTCCAGTAAAATGATGAAATAATCTACTAATGATGCAGATGAATTTTGCATAAGAACCGACCAAAGTTTTGAATTAATGTTATAACTGAATTATTTGCTAATTAACTAAGTCTCATCATTATTTTTTAACTTTTTCTTTTTCTTTTTTAATTATATTAAACTTTTTCTATACAGTATAATTTCTAAATTATATTTGATGATTCTTAACAAAATTTGAATAAAGTATTTTATTTTTACCTTTAGCTTAGCAAGGCAGTAAAGCAAAATACTTATTATTTTATAGACTATGAGTAGTCTCTCTTTCGCGTAGTCTGTTGAATGAGACCATAAATAAACTGTGAGGAACAAAGCGGCTGCACAAAATGCTCGGGGCAAGATGTGTGCGAAAGGAGGGACTACCGCCTAAACCAGAGAGTTTGAATTATCTATTGCTCTCACAATGCAAAAAATATGATTGGCCTATGTTAGGAGCGTTAACAACACGTTGTCAACATTTGAGATATGTGTGACATCTTGGAGGAATGTTTATCTCACTCTCTGAAAATAGAAAGCTTTGGAACTGGTGCTAATAAAAATGTTGGAATCGCATCTCACAGCCCATGATGTTCTTGCAATTCTGCCAACAGGCTATGGAAAGAGTTAAATTTATCAAGTGCTTTGTTTGGCAAAGCTTTTCGCCTCGAACCCAAATACCAGCATGTTACTCATTTTGACCTCAACACCGGGTCAACAGCAACATTGAAGAACCATTCTGTAAATATGAATTGACTGAGCTTGGCCATTCTGCCATCCATTTGAAAGATCGAACCGGACTTTCACTTGATATAGGGCATTCACTAGAAACTTTCCACTGCTATCGGCAAACATGYCACYACASTTGGRTGATCTCCTATGTCAAATACATACATGTAAATTCAGGGTTGAAACTTCGCATTTGAAAATCTCTCAGTAAATTTTAGACTTAAACCTACAGACACCGCAAAAATCCTTACAAGATGCTCCTTTGCCGTCTTCTTTCGAAACTTCTTAAATAGCAGTTAAATCGCTTAACAAACACCGTAACTAAGATTTACTTCTCATGGCATGGCTTTGCATTGCTTCTTGAAGAGAACAACGATTTTCAAGACGTTTCCCGGGGTTATTGACAACAGGTGATAATGTTGGGCTGTTCCAAAAACCTGGAGTGCAGAGTGCAGAGTGTTAAAAAAATTTAAAAATTAGAAATAAATAAAATTTAAAAGTGAATTGAATACTTAATGTCACTATTCTGCTATTCAAATTAAGTGTAAAATGTAACCATTATGCAACCAGGTAAAAGGTAACATTTAGGAAAAAGTAAAGTACAGTCCAGTTGACTTGAAAAATTAGAAAAAATAGTAAGATAAAAAAGATAAACTGTAGATTGACAAATACAAATACAAATACACAGGTCAAGTTGCACTTTCAGAAAACAAGTTATAAAGAATATTTTACCTAAAAAGTTATTCAACTGCACAGCACTGCTTGTCCATGTCCTTTCTGTTGGAATGGCCGTTTTTATACTTAAGACGCATTGCCCGTTTTTACACTAGTGGTCACATTTTCCGTCCAGAAGGAGAATGCATCTTTAGCATATATATTTCTCAAAATTCAATTTTTAGATTATTTATGTGTTTTTAAAATTATTCTTTCAATTCACCTTCAAATTTTACTTTATTTCTATTTCTTTATTTTTCTCATTTTTTTAAAATTTAATTTAACACTCCGCACTTCGCACTCCGCGTTTTCGGAACAGCCAGGCGATAATGAGAGGACGTCAAGATAAGGAATCGTATTGGAGACGTGTAACGAGATTGAAAATTTACACGGAAAAATCACTCGGCCGTGAAAGGTCAAACTCTCTGGCTTTATCGTGGGTAGTCCCTCCTTTCGCGTGCTTCTCACCCCAAGAGTTCGTGCGGCAATTTTTGCAAGACGGACTAAGCGAAAGAGGGACTACTCGTGGACTAATTATTTTTGAAGTTTTGAACAGAAACTTACCACTGGTGTACTGGGCACCGATAGTCCACCAAAGTTGTTTTCTACTTGTAATCAAACAAAAGGCATGTCAATCAGACATCAAGCATTTAATAAAAGTATATAGATGTTGAATTCAGAGCTAACATATACCTGTTAGCGCCGAGAAAACGGCAAAATAATTTACGTCCCAAAGGTCCAGCAATGTTGGACGCCATTTTGAATTTTGTAACAAACAGGACAAAAAATTTACGGTATATAAAGTGATTCCTGAGCAACAGCTCTTACGCTGACATGAACCTGCATTCGCTTCCATAGTAACCAGCTGCATTGTGGGTCAATAACAAATATGGCTGACTGATTTGCTTGCAAGCTAAATATTTTTCTGTGCAAAACTTTTGAGCATTTGACTTTCTTGATTTGTGGATTCCATCTAAAGATATGGGGCAAAATGTTAACGAAGGTCCTCCGGATTCACGGTGGGTTTCAGTCGACATTGAATGGAATATAACAGAATACAAGCGTATTGCTTTCAGAAATTATATCAGTGTGATCGATCTTTTTGCAGGCTTACTAGAATTGAAGCAACAAGAAAGATTGAGCGGTTCTGGTGTTCGTATCGTGACAAACAGATGTTCAAGTTGCTTAAATATGCCATATGTGCAGCGGTAAGTGGACAAAATATTCTGTAGTTTACATTGTATGCTAGCGACTTCGACACATTAATAAAGTTCTTATCTTAAGCTTATCTTATCTTATCCTGATCCGTTTTTTCAGAATATGCTTCTGGTTTGTTAGACGGAAACTTTCAAGTTTGAATGATTTTAAGATTTATTATAAAAATTTATAATTTTAAGCTGAAAGGAACTGTTGTTGATCTTGCACGCCAAAGCTAACATTTTGACGTGTTGTTTGTAGGAACATTCTCTCACTTATGAAGTGTTAAGAAAAGTGTCGCCACTTGAAGCAGATCTTCTGCGGGATCCTGTGATCCAGGCCAGAGTGAGGTTTAGGTATTAACTTAGATTAATTAAACTTTGCATCACATCAAACCAAGAAGAAACTTGTGTTATGCGAACTTCTTGGTCTGGTTTAGTGGGACAGCTTCCTTACGGGTACATGTACACTGAAGATTTTATCTTATGAGTGGGTCCAGGAATCTTAAAACACATGAACATTGTATTGTATTTTCAATTTGATGTATACAGAACTCTGTATGTCTTTAGGGGAGACATGATGATAAAATACATGTATGCTTTATTTGTTTGTCTTGTACAGATTTGGAGGAGCAGAATTTCCACCCATTATTATGTTTAAGATTTTCATTCACAGTGGAGGGCAAGGTGTCAAGTATTACTGTGGTAAAAGGGTCATTAAACCAGCATCTGAGGTAACGTAAAGGAAACCTGAAAATACTGTAGCAGTTTACTGAGAGAAAAACACCAAATAAATAAATGATAGTAAGCCATAAAGGAACAAGGATGGTTAATGATGGAGAAGATTGATATGGATTATAAACAACAAACTTGAAAAATATTAGGCTAAACTTTTGATGCGCAAAGTGTGGCACAGCTCCTTTGCATTTACTTTAACTGCAGCTCAAATTTGAAGGTTTGAAAAACCTGCTTTTTAATAACTATGAAAGAAGAACAAATTACATTTGATTGTAGACAAAATCCACTTGCGACCAATGTCCAGTATACAATGTATATTAGGTCAAGAACACAGTATACTTAAAGAGATTTCAAGGACCCAAGTGATGTTCTAAAGATTTTCCATTTTCTACCTTTCAGGCAGCAAGTGATTCCCTGAGACTCATGGGAAATCGAAAGTTCTATGATCAGTTAATAGCCGACATGTGTCAGCATGAGAAAGACAGAATAACAGATGAAATTGATGTGACGACAATGAAAGACTATATGCAGGTATGTGGCTGGCGAGTTTCACTCTGTTCCTACAGTCAAACCTCTGGAAGCGACCACCTCTCATGACTCACCTCTCCTCAGCGACCACTCACTCACTCATCCTCTTCGCTCCTTCATGAGTGGAGCATAAGGCCACAAGCAACCAGTTTACCAAAATACCAAAAGTTTCCAAGTCAAATCACTATATTTGGAACCTCTTGTAAGCGACTGCGACCACTTTTAGAGCTCAAAGTTTGAAATTTTCTTTTGTTTTTAACCTCTCATAAGCAACCATTTGACAGATAATAGAGCAGAAATTGGATTATAAGGTGTTGTAACATTATCATATTCCTGGATAGCACAAGAGGCAGAAATGTCTCAACTTGGGAAGTATCAGATCTTTTTTTTCTCAAAATTGACTTTTCACATGAATAAAACTTTTAAAACATGGTGTAAGTCTCTGCAATTAACATATGCTATTGAGGCAAAATTTGACCCAATATGATCCAAGCTCTCATAAGTGACCACTAAGACCGCTTGACATTGACATTGTACATTTACATGTAGGTGGTCACTTAAGGGAGGTTTGACTGTATTTTTGTACTAGAGGAAAAGAAATGCTCAAATGCTTTGATTACTTGCTACTTGATTCTGATGTCTAGCTGTATAGCATGAAATGACTCTAAATCATTAATTTAATTATCCCTCCTGGTGGCTAGTTGCACCCCTTCCCCACCCCCCCTCCCCTCAACCCAGTGGATGGTACATGTAACTTTGTGGGCAGAGAAGCACTTTGAAATCTAGAGTAAATTAGGTCAGTATAGAGCCTTTCCTCATTAGAGAAGGCCCCAACCAGCAAGATTAGTCCTCAAACTTAGATGGATTGGACCACTGTCTTGATCCATCAGGATACCAGTGTTGACATCAACTATGGTAAACCATCCATAAGCTTAAAATTGATCTGTTCAGACTTGATCCAAGGTTGGTTTAGCTCTTTAGACATCAGTTTCTGCCTTGTGCTTCAGTGTGCACAGCATGATCACAAACTGGAAGCAAAGTATTTTCTGGCTGGAACATTTCCCCCCCTTACATGTAGTAAGTAACAAACAGCCAATTCAATAAATTATGTGTTCAGTAACCCATTACATGTATCTCATCTTCTTCCTGGTTATATTCCTTTTGTCAGTATTTAAGCCATGTGGATGAATGTCCAGCGGAAACTGGAGGAAAATCCAACACATGGAGAAGACTTACTCTTGATGGTACGTTTAGCTCAATGTTCCTTTATTAAGTTTTAATTATTATACCAGGTTTTCTTTTTGTGTCCTCTTACATGACAGCTATCTTATGGGGGTTGAACCAATTCGGAGATTTTTGAGCAAGTGAAAACTTGAGGGTGCAAAAAGGATATGATATCATCTTTATACTCAGCTCTGATGGGTGTAATATTACTTTTTTTCATTGTAGCTATTCCAAGGCAGAATATAGTGCACGATATCTTTAGTTTTGTGGCATGTGGTGTCACAACCCCTAGACTGGTAGAAGAATGTCCAGATCTGTTGTCACTAAGACCAGCTACTCAGGAAATTCAAGTGGCCAGTATTAGAGCTATTCCTATGTACAGGTATGACAAATCTGAAATATGTTAATATTCATAACTGCTCAATTACAGTGCCCCACTGCCAAGAAAAAAATATTCAGAATGTTTTTCACACACAGGAAAAAGCCACAAATAGACTACAATAACCCATCTCCCATCAGGAGGTCGCGTCAAGCTAAAGCAAGAGTTGCAAAAATGAGAAAAATGTTTGGATTGGATTCTCCAAAACAGGTTAGTACATAATCCCTTGTAGTTACTATGTCAGTAGCTTTGCCCTAAACACTGGTCATGCACACACAAAAATTCAGACAAGAGCATTTATAAATAACTTAATTATTGGTTTTTCAAGGTTGTTAAAGACATTCCTTTTCAAAATACCAGGACTTTTCCCTGATAAAAATAACATTTTTGACCAAAGAAATGCAAAATGTGATGTCTAGTAGCAGCTTCTTCTTCCACTCGTTCATTAAGAGCAATAATTTTCAACAAGTTTTTCTTCTTCATTAAGGAAAAATATCGTTGAGATCACAGTGGCCCCAAATGTTTCTTCCAGCCTTCAATGGTATTAAATCAGCCAAATTAAATTATTTCAATTTTCCCTGACTTTTCTTGAAAATATTTCTCTGACTCAAGAAAAAAAACATTCTCTGACTTTTTCCTGACCTTGAAGAATTTTTTCCCTGACCATTTCCTGATCTGTAGCAACCATGTTGTTCTCTTTTCTCTCCTCACCTCTCCTGATCCCTTTTTTTCACCCTTGCTTAGACCTTTGTACAGCCTATAGCTAGATGAGGAAAAATCTGATTTGTTCGGTAACACTTGCTACACAGGCTACATTCTCCTAAGACACTTTCCATTTCTCATTGCTGTTTACATCTACATTTGTATTGCAGACTGAGAGCCTGCAAAGAATAACGCCAGAGGTTGAAGTGCCTGTAGAGGATATATTTGAGGATGACGACTGGGAAGATCAAGCTGATAAATTGTATGAATGGACACAGAATTTATCCCTTGACGAGCTGGGAGATACTTCGCCATGAAAACCCTCACTAACAAATTGAAAACTTGCAACAAAATAGTCTGAGATCATTAAGAGTCATGCAAGTAGAGGTAATTGTTAGAGGAATGGCTTCCAGCCCTTTGTTTGGAATTCTATAAAACAAGGACTATGAGAAAAGGTCACATGCTCAAGTCAAGAATGGTTGCTGCGGTGCGATAATGTGTAACATGGTGAAGTTTGCTACAACAACTGTATATGCAAATCAGAGACAGGAATTATTTTCAAGTCAGAAAGATCTGGTCTGCATTTGAAAATCGCTTTATAAGTTGCCATCAGTAAATAAATTCAAATGTTGAGCAGTTTTTGAAGAAATGAAAACAGTGTTAAATAAATAGGGATTTTGTTTGCTAGATAATTCTGCAACAGTATTAATATTATTATTATTACCAATTATCAATAAAAAAACAAGAAACATTAAAGAAACTGTTACATTTCTCCATGTTATTTATTTCTTTGTTTTACCAACTATCAGGTAATTTACACGTGAAAGTAGAGCAATGCTTTGAAAACTCAAGATAAGATGAATATTTTTCACCTTGTAATTGCATCAGACTTTATACCATTAGACTGATCAGGACAGTCCCCTTTAATTTCCTTCATGGATCAAGGAGTGAGGCCCCATCCACACCACGTTGACGCATTTGAAAACAGAGGTTTCATTCTGAAAACGCGTCAAATATTTTCTGTCCACACTGCTCAGTCAGGGAAATCACATTATAGTGACGGCATCAATTTCTGTCCACACACAAACGAAAAGCAGCCGGCAATTTAAATTCCCCTGGATTGAAAAGCGTTTTAATAACGCTCCATTTTTGTGACTGGTTGGTGTGGACGGGAGGCCACCATAGACATAAAGCTACGTTTTCAAATGTCTCTGGTGTAGAGTGGATGCTACCTGAGAAACAAGCCAACACAGATATTGTTCTTCTCTTGAGCTTCCATTTTGCTGATCACTCCACAATCCCCGAGAGAACAGCGATTGCTTCAAATATCACAGCAAAACTTTACCAAATAAATAAAGACAGGGTTTGGGTTGGAATTGAACCCTTAACTATGAATCCTTTGCTAGAGAAAGGCAAGACCTATTATTTTCAATTGAGTGTCATAAAACCAAAACCAAACTAATTACTTACCAATTAGACTAACCAGCCGATCTCAAACCGTAGTAAAACCAAAACCAAAACCAAAGTAATTGTCTAATAACTTTTGACACTCAATTGAAAACCACTCTAAACTATGGTACTAAGTACTAATACTTCATCATGGAAGGCAATCTATCAATTCATTGTTAGATCTGTGTTATTTCTCTGTGCTCTGCGAGACAACTACTGAACAATATGTTACATGTGCATCTTTTGAAAGGACTCTTTCAATTTGTGAACTATTTTGTTTAATGCAAAGACTCCTTTGTGTTAACTGTAAGTGCCATACTGTGACCATAGTAAACTTCATGTTCTGCACTAAAAGTGCTACCTTAAATGATGATTGAAATATTTACAAGCTTGTTTGCAGTGCATCATCAAAATGCTGATCACTCTATAAACAAATATAAATAAAACCATGTCAGCCATTGTAGGGTTTTGCCCCAGGTCTTGCTGCCTCTTTCTGTAACTCCATATCAATCTTGGCGTTTATTTTCTCCCAGTCAACCTCGACCTGCAGGTAAAACATAATCAAAAAATTTCAATATAACTATTTTGTTTCATTGCCATGATAACAGTTTGCCAGTAAACATTGATAATCCTGCATGGAAACAGGACTTATCCAGGTGGAGCACACACCAACACACCAACCAATTACCAAGAAACTATTCCACTGCATTCTATTCAACAATCAGATTGAACTCGAGATTTCTATGAGCAAATAACATATTATTTGTAAGTGTTTTAGGGCAAATCTACTAGTCATTCACATTCTTCACAGACACTTTGAAAAGACAAAGAAGCAGCCACCAGATATTAAACAAGTGCACACTGCAGGGCTACTTGATCACTATCTACAAAAGAATAGATAGTGAGTAGCGTAGCCAATCAGAGAACAGCATTCATGATAGAATGCTAGTAGATCTGTCCTAAAAACTAATGGCCACTTCTTTGCGTTTTCGAAGTGTCTCTGAAGAAAATTAGATAAAGTTTTGAATGACTAGAAGGTTTACACTAAAACAAATGGATTATTTGCTCTTGATTTCTGCACGTGATAGTTGACGAGGGCTGCAATAGAACTCTTGAGCTGTTAAGTAGAAATGACCAAAGAAAGATAAAGGTCAATGTATGGATAAGGGCTGCAGCGAGTGGCAAGGTGGCAAGTTATGGAGAAGGACAAATATCACACTTGCATAAGATTTATCACCAAGTTTACCATTTAACTCACTCTAAATTTAGCCTCACCCCTTGTGCATACTGCAGAAATCGTTTGCTTGTTTCTTTTCTGTCAAAGTTTTCCAAATATTTCTGTCTGTATGCCAGAACTGTGTCCACATGAGTCTTGTGTTTAACAGCAAGTTCAAGGGCCCTGAAAATTGATTGAAGAAACCAGTGTCAGTTCCTCTTACAATGATACCAGTTTTGTTTCCTTTCATACTGTCATACTGTGCATAGTTAATAGCGGGAAATAGTTATGAAACCTGACAAAGTTATTTGTTGGTTATTTTTGGGGGCTGACCCCGCACAAAACTGGGCAAAATACAAAAGGTGGTTATGTGTGCTCCTACAACTAACCAATAGAGGCATTGCAATTGAAGGCTTTTGTGCAAAAAGCGTGTATATAGCATTTTGGGCCGATTTTTATTTTTTGCAGGATCGAGCTAATTTTTGGCAGACT